CATGTGCGGAGGCCTTGAAACATGTCAGACAATGGTACACGTAGATACTCTTTTTGCGTGCCCGCTCGAGGATGGCGCGCCCTGCGCGCCGAACATCTGAGGATGTCTCGAGCGAACCGCTTGTGTTGCAGAAGTTGCCCGGCCTGGGCGCCCCACAATGCCTGGATGGTGCCGGGAGCCCGAACGCAGAGCAATTTACACGGGAACGTGGCCCTGGCAGCGCGGACGCTGCGTAATTGACGAGGGAGCGCGGGCGCAGTGTCGTTTACGAGGGATCGTTGCCCAGAGGGAGCGGGCGCAGCATAATTTACAAGGGATCGCGGCCCTGGGAGTGTGGACGCAGCGTAATGTAGGACGGATCCTGGCCTGGGGGGGGGCGGACATGCCCAGCCAGGGTTTTTTCATAGGCTCACCCTTGGAGTCGACTTGACACGAGCCAGCGAAATGATGTTGCGATGAAAACGAGGTGCAGTCCCATTCGTCGCGGGAAACATGCGTTTCGCGCGTGCCCGCTCCAGGAAAATGTGCCCCCCATGTCGGAACGGGGTCCGCAGACCACCGCTTCCCTTGTAAAAAAGAAGGTGCGGAGCCTTTTGCAGAGAATCCGTATTAAAAGACAAAGTATGGAGACCCTAAAATCTTTGACGGGCCGTTGTGAAAGTACCGAAAATGACTTGTTGCGTTCCCGCTCGAGGATGGCGCACCCTGCGTGCCGAATATATGAGGATGTCTCGGGCAAAACGCTTGTTCTGCAACGCTTGAAAGGCCTGGGCGCCCCATGATGTCCAGGTGGTTCTGGGAGTGCAGTCGGATTATTATTTGCAAAGGATCGTGGCCCTGTGAGCGCGGACGCCGTATAATTTGCAAAGGATCCTGGCCCTGGGAGCGCGGACGCAGCGTAATTGACGAGGAATCCTGGCCCTGGAGGCGCGAACCCTGCGTAATCGTGCGCGGACGCAGCGTACTTTACAAGGGATCGTGGCCCTGGAAGAGCGGACGCAGCGTAGCTAACAATGGATCGTGGCCCTCGGAGCGCGGACGTAGCATACTTTACAATGGACCGTGGCCCTGCCCTGGGGGGGGCGGACACAGCGCGATTCACAAGGGAACGTGGCCCTGGCAGCGCGGACACAGCGTAATGCACAAGGGAGCGCGGCCCTGGGAGCGCGGCCGCAGCGTAGTTTACGATGGATCGTGGCCCAGGGAGAGCGGGCGCAGCGTAATTTACAAGGGTTCGTGGCCCTGGAAGCGCGGACGCAGCGTAATTTCTCTATGGATAGTGGCCCTGGGAGCGCGGACGCAGCGTAATTTACAATGGATCGTGGCCCTTGATGGGCTCGCACACGGTAATGTTTGCGGGAGCGTGGCCTTGGGAGCGGGCACACAGCGCCATTCACGAGGGAGCGCGGCCTTGGGAGCGCGGACCCAGCGTAGTCTCCACGGGATCGTAGCCCAGAAGTAGCGGACGCAGCATAGTTTACAAGGGATCGTGGCTCTGGGAGCGCGGACGACGCAGCGTAATTTACTGGGAACGTGGCCCTGGGAGCGCGGACGCATCATAATTTCGTGGGATCCTGGACCTGGGTCAGGGGCGTCCCGCGGCACGTTCCCTGACGCGTTCCCTGGCACGTTCCCTGGCACGTTCCGTGGATCCCCTGGCACGTCGCGCGGCGCGTCCCTTGGCACGTCCCGTGGCACGTCCATTGGCACGTTCCGTAGCGCGGCGCCTTGGCACCCCAGCGGTGCGTCCCCATGGCACATCCTTTGGCACGTGTCCTGGCGCGTCCGTTGGGACGTTCCGCTGCGCGTCTGGGGCAGCCACTATGTGCTCAAGCAGCTCGAGCTGAAAGTCCAGATCAGTTCGGTCAGGTCTCGGATGCAAAGGACGACTCGATCCACATTGCTATAGACACAATCGCGGCATGGCACATCGCAATTCAGCACGGCTCAGCACAGCACAGTCATTGGCACCGCACATCAAGGTCGATAGATTCAGCCTTGCAACCTGGCACGTTCTGTGGTGCGTCCCATGGCGAGTTCCCCTGGCACGTCGCGCGGCGCGTCCCCTTGGCACTTCCAGCGGTGCGTCCTCATGGCACGTCCCCTGGCACGTCGCCTGGCGCGTCCCTTGGGACGTTCCGCGGCGCTTCCCCCTAGCGTGCCCCCTTGTAAATTAGCATTGGGGCAGCTACTGTGTGCGCAGGCAGCTCGAGCTTAAGATCCAGATCAGTTCGGTCAGGACTCGGATGCAAAGGTGGGCTCGATCCACAACGATATAGAGCACAATCGCGGCATGGTACATCGCAATTCAGCACGGCGCAGCACAGCACAGCCTTTGGCACGGTACGTCAAGATCAATCTACTCAGCATTGCACTTACCCGTCGCACAATCAATGTCTGGAAAACGTTGCCATGCCTTACGTCTCTGTATTCATTTCGGGGTTCGTGGGTCCATCATGCTCCGGGATCCCGCCCGTGGGGGTGCGGTCATAGCGTAAGTTTAGGAATCCTGCCCGTGGGGGTGCGGACAGCTAATTGACGAGGGCTCGTGGCCCTGGTGGCGCGGACGCGTCGTAATTTTCAAGGGATCGTAGCCCTGAGAGCGCGAGCCCAGCAAAGAACATGATGGACCCACGAATCCGGAAAGGGATATAGACATGTGCAGCATGGTCACGTTTTCACGATATCCAACTGGGCGACACCACACGAAACATCCCACGAGACATGCCGCGAAACATCCCACGAGACACCTCACGAAACATTCCACGAGACACCTCACGAAACATTCCACGAGACACCCCGTGAAACATTCCACGAGAAACCCCACGAACAGGTAACCACTCAACCAGACACCCCACGAAACATTCCACAGGGGTGCGACTGGGTGTGGTCGTGCTGGGGTGTGGTCGTGCTGGGGTGTGGTCGTGCTGGGGTGGGGTCGTGCTGGGGTGTGGTCGTGCTGGGGGGTGGTCGTGCTGGGGGGTGGTCGGGTGGTCGTGCTGGGGGGGGTGGTCGTGCTGGGGTGTGGTCGTGCTGGGGCGTGGTCGTGCTGGGGCGTGGTCGTGCTGGGGCGTTGTCGTGCTGGGGTGGGGTCGTGCTGTGGAGAGGTCGTGCTGGGGTGTGGTCGTGCTGGGGTGGGGTCGTGCTGGGGTGGGGTCGTGCTGGGGGGTGGTCGTGCTGGGGTGGGGTCGTGCTGGGGTGGGGTCGTGCTAGGGTGGGGTCGTGCTGGGGTGTGGTCGTGCTGGGGTGTGGTCGTGCTGGGATGTGGTCGTGCTGGGATGTGGTCGTGCTGGGGTGTGGTCGTGCTGGGGCGTGGTCGTGCTTGGGTGGGGTCGTGCTGGGGTGGGGTCGTGCTGGGGTGGTCCGCACCTTGTGATTTATCGATCGGGTCGTGCTGGGTGTGGTCGTGCTGGGGTGTGGTCGTGCTGGGGTGTGGTCGTGCTGGGGTGTGGTCGTGCTGGGGTGTGGTCGTGCTGGGGTGTAGTCGTGCTGGGGCGTGGTTGTGCTGGGGCGTGGTCGTGCTGGGGTGTGGTCGTGCTGAGGTGGCCCGCACCCTGTGATTTATCGATCGGGATTTCAAAAGCAAGCGCTTCGCCTGAGACATCATCAAATTTTAATCCGCGGGCCACCTCGACTTCGATATTTATCAGGGAAAGAATCCGCCGGCCCACCTCAGTTGAGGCACCGGGGACAAGTTTACATACTAAAAGAGAACCCTGGGCCTATGCCCTTTCCGGGGAAAAAAGAGATCGTAGGCCTCGGAGCGCGCACGCCGCGTAACTTTCGAGGGATCCTGCCCCGGGGTCAAGGACGTGCCGTGGCACGTTCCTTGACGCAGTTCCCTGGCACGTCCCTTGGCGTGTCGTCTGGCACGTTCCCTGACACGCGACGCAGTGTAATTTACCATGGATCGTGGCCCTGGAGGCGCGAACCCAGCGCAATGTACGACGGCTCGTGGCCCTGGGAGCGCGTACGCTGCGCAATTCACGAGGGAGCGCGGCCCTGGGAGCGCGGACGCAGCGTAGTTCACAAGGGAGCGCGGCCCTGGGAGCGCGGGCGCAGCGTAATTTTTTCAAGGGGTCCTGCCCGTGGAGCGGCGGGCACAGCGTGATTTGCACGGGCGCCTGCCCCGGGGGGCGCGCACACAGCGTCGTCAGCGAGGGGTCGTGGCCCTGGTGGCGCGGACGCCGTGTAATTCGAAAGAGGTCGTGGGCTTGAGAGCGCGAGCCCAGCGTAGTGTGCGAGGGATCGTGGCCCTCGCGGCCCTCGCGCGAGCCCACCGCAATTTACACGGGAACGTGGCCCTGAAGCGTGACGCCTGCGTAATTTGCGAAGTGTCGTTGCCCTGGGAGCGCGAATCCAGCGTAATTTTCAGGGGGCCGTGGCCTTGAGAGCGTGACGCCCGTTTAATTGTCGATGGATCGCGGCCCTGGGAGCGCGGACGCCGTGATTTACGAGTAATCGTAACCCTAGGAGAGCGGACGCAGCGTAATTTACAAGAGATCGTGGCCTTGGGAGCGCGGTCCCGTCGCAATGGCTTCGTTCATTGGTCCGCCGTGCGTTGCGCCTTTCTGGCGGTGTCTGGGGGTGGAGGGCGGGGGGGGGGGGGAAGCCGGTTTTTTTTTCAGTAGAAAAAGGAGCTTGCCTGGGAGCGCGGTCCTGACGTTCCCTGACGGGTTCCCTGACGCGTTCCCTTGCACGTCCCCTGGCGCGTCGCCTGGCGCGTTCCCTCGCATGTTCCGTGACGCGTCCCGTGGCGAGTCTCTTTGGCACGTCTCGCGGCGCGTTCCCTGGCACGTCCCGTGGCGCGTCCATTGGTACGTTCCGTAGCGCGTCCCCTTGACACGTCTCGCGTGCGCCACCATGGCACGTCCCCTGGCACGTCCGCTGGCGCGTCCCTCCTGGGTCGATCACGTTTTTCAAGCCGCCCGCGGCTGGAGCTCCCCGGGAGGGGAAGGCCATGTAGCTCCTGTCGCACCCGGCACCCGCGGGGGGGACAGGCTGGGAGCTCGCGGACGAGATGGACAACAACAACGCTGGGGAATCGGTCGGAGAGGCCCCGGCCTGCATGCTTTGGCTCGGTGGGGGGGGGGGGGGGGGGGGGGGCGGGGGGGGGGGGGGGGGGGGGGGGGGGCGAGCGAGGCACCTCGCCGTGTCCAGCCCCCCCAGGGGGGCCTTTCCCAGGCCGCAGGGCCGCCCGCGGAGCGGGTGACGATGAGAGGCAGGTCCACGGGGGAAGCCGGGGGTCCAGGGCTGTTTCCCGCGGGGCGCGAGGCCTCTGCCGTGCTGGGGGAGGGAGGGAATGGAATCGAATGGTGGGATGGGGGCAGAGTCTGTGTCCCCAGACCCCCTCGAGTCATGAAAAAATCATGACGGGAAGTTGTTCTATGTTTTCGGCCTCCGGGGGCCCTATACCGGCCCTCGGGACCGTCAAAAAACGACTCGGGGTGAAAAACCGGTCCCGGCGAATAGGTCCGGACTTCTGGGGGTCGCGTCATGAAAAAGTCATGACGTCGGGGGTCTGGGTCGGAGGCACCTGGAGGATTTCAGGCCCCGGGATGATGTCCCTCAGCTGCGCCTGGTCGAGAGCCTGTCGGGGAGCCCAGGGGTGTCGATTCCACCGGCCAGGAAGCACCGGGGAGAGGAGTCCCCTCCAGGAGGTGTGCTGATTCTCCCCCTGCCGGGGTCTGCCTCCCATAGGGGGGGGAGGCCTCGCCGTCACGGCTGGGAGCCACTTCGACATGCTGATCCGCATATTCGGTCGGGAGAGTTTTTGCACTGGAAGCAGGGCGGAACCGCGTGCGAACCCTGCCACTGGGGCCCTCGGTGGGGCTCCTTGTGGGGCCACGAACCGAGTGCGAGGGGTGCGCCGAAATGAGGGTGGAGCCGCATGCGAACCCTGCCACTGGGGCCCTCGGCGGAGCCCCCTATGTGGCCACGAAGCGTGTGAGGGGTGTGCCGACATGTGGTGGAACCGCATGCGAAGCTTGCCACTGCGGCCTTCGGCGGAAGTCCCTGGCTATGGGAACACGAACCGTGTCAGGGGTGTTCCGAAATGGGGGTGGAACCGCATGCGAACCTTGCCGCTGCCTCTTGGGGGCCCCTCGGGGGCACCTTGGGGGCCTCTTGGCGCCTCCTGGGGACCTCTTGGGGCTGAAGGCTGGACTTTCCGGTTCCTGGCCCCCTTCTTGGGCCCCTCTTGGGGCCGTTTTTGGGCCCTCTTGGGCCGCCTTGGGCGCCTCTCGGGCCGCCTTGGTGCCCTCTTGGGCCGTCTTGGGGCCCTCTTGGGTTCCCTGGGGCCCATCTTGGGGGCGTGTTGGGCCGTCTGGGGGCGATGTTGGAGGCCTCTGGGGCAGTTCTGGACGCTGTGAATCCCCAAACGTCGTACATATACGTTTTCAAAACAGAGTGGGACGGTGTTTGCATGTTGGGGCCCTCTTGGAGAGCCCCTTGAGGCCCTCTTGGGGCTTTTTCGCTGCCTCTGGAGCCATCTGGAGACTATCTTGAGCATCTTTGAGCGATCTTTCGGCGACTCGGGGCCTCTTGGGCCGTGTAGGGGGGCGTCCCGGCGCCCTGTGGGAGTCAGCCGGGCATCGCCCGGGCATCCCGGGCATCGGTCGGGGTACTTTTCGTCCAGGGGTCCCCAGGGGCCGCCATGCGCGCACGAACTGGAAATATTGTTATCCAGTTGCCGAAGATCTTAGCACGCCTTTGGCCCGTTGGGCTGGCGAATTTCCGGCCTGCAGGTTGGTCCTCATTTTTCTCTTTCTCCGCATCCTCCTCCCATCCGTCCTCTTCATCTTCCTGCCGATCCTCCCCCCCATCTCCTCATGTCTCTCCCTCCTCGTCGAATGTTTGCTCCTCCTCGTCTTTGTCCCTATATACATATATGTATATGTTGATGCTCAGTCCCCTCCGCACCCCAACACGCACGCACATGTACGCACACCTTTTGGGCGTCGCGGCCACGAGCGCGGCGGCCCCGCGCAGGTCAAGTCAAGCGGAGGCGCGCGGGCCCGCCTGGCTCACGCAGCGTGAAAAGCACACACAGACACACGCACACAAACACACACACACACACACACACACGCACGCACGCACGCACACATACACACACACACACACACACACGCTGACGCACGCACGCACGCACGCACGCACACATGCACGCACGCATGCACGCACACGCACTCACGAACACAAAACACACACACACACACACACACACTCACGCACATGCACGCACGCACGCACGCACGCATGCACGCACGCACGCACGCACGCATGCACGCACGCACACACGCACACACACACACACACACACACACGCACACGCACACGCACGCACGCACACGCACGCACACGCACACGCACACGCACACGCACACGCACACGCACACGCACACGCACACGCACACGCACACGCACACGCACACGCACACGCACACGCACTCGCACACGCACACGCACACGCACACACACGCACACACCACACACCACACACCACACACCACACACCACACACCACACACCACACACCACACACCACACACACACACGAATGCACACACACACACACACACGCACACGCACACGCACACCCACACACACGCGCGCACACACACATGCACACGCGCACATATTAGCACACCCACACACGCGCGCACACACAAACTCGCTTTTTCAAGCGAGCCAGCCCTTCCAAGTGCAGAGTACGCACAAGCAAGCATGCAATATACATTTGAGCATGCCGAGTCGACCGGATGGGCCGCGGTGGCCTCGTCTCTCGGAGGCGTGCGTCGCTTGTTGTAGAGCACGCACGCATACGGCCGGACCGAGGTATAACATCGAGGTCGGTTTGGGGAGGGCACACCAGTGTTTGTCGTGTTTGCTGGGCGATCTTGTGCGTCCTGGGGGAGATTACCCTCGAAGGTTCTTCAGCTTGGCTGGCGGAGTTTGTGATGTTCTTGCAGGATGTTCTTCTGTCTTAGGTCCGGCCGTGCCGCTATCCCTGCTCCTGTAGCCGCATTGTGGCTCAGGTTGCGCGCTCCGGCCAATCTTTTTGCGCGCTGGCGGACAGCACGATGCGAGCGCACGGCATTCTCGTCGCAGCCAGCCTGGCATGCAGCACGGTCGGCGCATCCACTGTGCGCGAGCGCGTCGATGACAGTATCAGCGGGCTGTTCGCCGCGTGGTGGCAGGGGACGTCGCCCATGCAGCCAGGATTTCTGTTCGCCTGCGGGCAGATCGGTTCGGCGGGCGTTGCCTCGCCAGATCCTAATACGCCGCTGTACCCAGCCGTGTGGGACCAGTGTGTGTGCGAGAGTCCCGCCAGGTGCACCAATTGCTACAGATGGTGGCAGGCAATCGCGCTTGAGTCGATCGCCAATCGGGGTATCTACTTCAATGACACCCTTTTGCCTGCCAGCTTGCCGAACGTCGCAGGGACGTTCCTGAGCCACGCATCCTACAACGGTAACTGGACGGGAGATTGCCCTTACATCGACGATTTTGGATGGTTCTTCTTGGCGTACATTCGCCATTTCGAGTGGACGAAAGATGCGGCGTACTTGAGCGCCGCTAAGGGCCTCCATGCCTACATGACAAGACATGGTGTCGATAAGGAATGCGGCGGAGTCTTGTGGAACCCAGGATGCCAAGGTGTGAAGAACTCAGTGACGTTACTCGAGTTACTGATCGGCAGTGCAAAGCTCGCCATCTTGGCGCCAGAGGACCCCATTTATCTGCAAACATCTAAGTCATTGTGGGCATGGTTCGAGTCGTCTGACCTCTTTGACGACCATGGTCTCGTCACAGACGGCGTAGGTGGCGCCCTTGGTGAGATGACAGAGTGTTGCAACGTGACGCACGAGCTAGACGGCAAGCCACGTTGCGTTAACAACATGTTACCTGGCTACTCGTACAATCAGGGTCTCTACTTGTCCGCGGCTGCCCACCTCTACCAGGCCACCAAGAACACCGACTACCTTCGACGCACAGGCCGCCTCGTGGACGCCATCCTGCAAAACTCGACGGACGCCAACGGATTATTGAAGGACGTGCCTCGTGGACAACCCAGCTACCCGGTGGCCTTCGGCGCCTTCCGACATTGCCTCTGGGCTGCACGTTACCTACATCATACCACACCCTCGCTCCCCTCGCCCCCTCTCCGCTCACTGACGCGCGTGATGGAAGAGGAGGAGGAGGAGGAGGCGGGGAGAGGACAGAGGAGCGGGGGGACGACTGGAAGGAGGCCCTGCGCCGAGGAGGGCGAGGACGAGGGAGAAGGAAGGATCAGAACGGAGAGGATGCAGCGGAGGAGGAGGCCTCCGTTCCTGGGAGCTTGCCGCGGGCCCTCTCTCGGACACTCTCGGCATCCCCTGGGGTGTTTTTTTTTTTGAGGGGGGGGGGGGGTGCAGCCCCCTTCTCGGAGTCACTTCCAGAGATCCGACGTCGTGATTTTCTCCATGCGGGGTCCCTGGAAGCCTCGACCCATTCCCCGGGACCGGTTTCTCGTCCTGAGTCGCTTCTTGACGGTCCCGACGCCCAGCGAGGGCCCCTGGGGGCCGAAATTTGGGAAAAACCTCCGTCTTGATTCTTGTCAATGCGTTGGATCTCTGGGTTCTCGCCTCCGCCTGGGATCCTTCCGGGCCATCCCGCGGCGATGCGGAGGCATTTGACTAATCCAGGGCTGCCAGGGCGAGGCGGGCAAAGCCTGCGAGAGGCAATGTGTTCGGCCCCGTTCCCCAGATGATTGAGGTTAAGTCGGGCCTGTCGCTCTACAGGGGGAATGTTAAAAAATAGTCAAGAAATAGTCTAGGACCGATTTTTTGAGCATTTGTTTGACTATGTTGGGGTATTTTTTCTGTATTTCTCGTGTTTCGCCCGAAATCCCCCTGTAGGGGGACAGGCCCGACCTAAGATTAAGGTATACCCCCCTTTAGTCCCCGGTGTTGATGATCTTCGACCAAGACACTTTTGGTCGGTGGTGGGGGCGACGAGGCCCAGTTTTTATTAGCCACCGGGTCACAAGGCCAGGTGCCAATCGTAGGCGTTATCTTCCTATGTCGAGTGGCTGCGTCACCAGTATCGCCAGTACCGTGTTTTTTTTTCGCACACTCCTTACAACTGTTATAGAACTAATGATAACAGGCAGTAGTATCCTTACTATTCTAATTCTCAGTTTTAGCATTGCCATTCCCAACGTTCGCACCCCATTCGTATCGTTAGACACGACCTCCAACGGCCGCCTGTGCAAAGTTGAAAAAGACATTCAACCAATTCAAGCTTACACCCGCCCAGGGTGAGGTATGAGAAAAAGGTGTAGGGTCCTTAGGGGGGTACCTTCCTTAGCGGGCCCTGGAAACGACAGGGCCGTTTTTTTACCGGTTCCGTTTTGCCGTTTTTTACCGGTTCCGACCGCCGTTTTTTTACCAGTTCCGTCGCCGTTTTTTGACCGGTTCCGGCTCCAGTACCAATCCTGGAGCCGTTTTTTTGCCGTTTCGGGTCGCAGTGTTTTTGCCGTTTTTATTAAAGGGGCATTTTTTCTGGAAGGTGGAAAAACGGCCCTGCCGTTTCCGGGGCCCACAAAGGCACCTTCCCTATATATATATATATATATATATATATATATATATATATATAGATATATATGTGTACACATCTATACACCTAGTTCAATGTGTATGCATCTGTCTGTGTGTAGGCCTCGCGCGGTTGTGGATGCAGGTGGCGAGCGCGGGTGGTGTGGGGGGGGCGCCGTCGGCGAGCTGCAGGCCGGCCGCGAGGCGGGTCGAGGAGCGGGGCGCAGTGCTGCGACGGCAAGACGCAAGCAAAGACCGGAGCCCGCACCGCGGAGCCACGGGCCGAGGGGGAGGAGGAGGAGAAGGAGATGGAGGAGAAGGAGATGGAGGAGGAGGAGGAGAAGGAGAGGGAAGAGGAGGAGGAGGAGATGGAGGAGGAGGAGGAGAAGGAGAGGGAAGAGGAGGGGAGGAGGAGGAGGAGGAGGAGGGGAGGAGGAGGAGGAGGAAGAGGAGGAGGAGGAGGAGGAGGAGGGCCATGACTGTTTGGCTCCCACCTCATCATGGTGTTTTCCCATCGTCGGTTCTGCCGGGGGGGCCTCCAGAGGCTCTGAGGTGCCGGCAGAGCTATTCAGCCAGGGGTCATCTCCGTGCCTCGTTGGACCATCCTGGAGGCCGTCTGGCCGGCAGCAGTCGGGAACATGGTGCGATTCCCAAGCGTCCAGAGGCACTCGTGACGAGCACATGTAAGTCTTTTCGGTGTAAGCAGCGTCCTGGGGAGAGAGGATCTTCATGTTCGTTTGCCGTCCAGCCATTCGCTGGTGCAAGAGCCTCAGAGAGGTGTCAGCGCTGCGATGCGGAGACGCTCAGCGTCGTGCCTTGGGGGCACGGTGGCGGATTTAGAGCCGCCGTGCGTCGAAGGCCAGGACCCAGGAGGCGACTGGTATTCGTTCAAGGGGGCGTTCATGATGCATTTGGGCTACTTCATGACCATTGCGGGGCGCTCGGCGCTGAACATTTCGCAGGTTCAGCGGGTCGTTTCTTTTGTCCGGAAGAATGCGGACGCCGTGTGGACGAATGCTTCGGTGGTCGGCTCCATGAGCGGCGATGTGTGCAGTACTGCTCAGTCAGCTGCGCTTGGCGAAGTCAGGATGTTTCATTGGGAATGGGATTGGGGTGTACATCCCACCCCCGCGCCTCCGCCAGCTGACCCCTCCAGCTTCTTCACGAAGGCTGGCCTGAGAGCTACTGGCGTTGACGGCATTGCAGGAACGCGCAGCGCCAGCAACTGCCAGAAGAAGTGCGCCGCTGATGCCAACTGTCATTCGTACACTTACGCAGACTCTGAGACATCAGGTTTTTCAGAGGATTGCTGGCTCTGCAGTTTCGACAGGACTGGCCCTGGTTCGTGTGATTTTGAAGAGGATCTCTCTTTTGTCACTGGCATCAAGAGGCCTAGCCCCTCGATTCTTGGTGGTGGCACCTGCTCTGCGAACGACTGTGGGAAGCCAGTGGCTAAGGACTTGGGCAATAATCAGACGTGTTTCTGCGACGAGGAGTGCACCACCCATTTTGATTGCTGCCTAAATTTCGCATCCGTTTGTCCTGCAGCGTCCGCGTCTTGCAAGGCGGAAACGTGCCACACGATTGGTGCCAGCGCCATCCCTGGAGGCGGATACTGTTTCTGCGATGACGCGTGCTCGACAGATATGCATAACTGCTGCCCCGACTTCAGCTCAGTTTGTGGCGCGGGCCCAACGCCCACGGGGCACCTGTGCATGGATGCGCGGGCCCACGGGTCCGCCGTGAACTTGTTCCTAACGGATTGGGTGTTGTCCGAGCTCCAGCAACAGCACGAGGGAGTGCAGCAACCGTTGGTCGCATGACCCCGGCCAGCGGCCTTTCTGGTATGGGCCCTCGCCAGCCAGCTCGCCACTGCGCCGAGAGTGTGCACCGCAGTTGGCGCGCGTGTGGCGATTCTTCGTCCACCTGCTCTTTCGGGTTCTCCCCATCTTTACCCTTCTCCTCTTCCTTCTGCGTCCCCCCCTCGATCCTTCTCCCGCTCCTCCTCTCGCTGCTCCTGCTCACCTCTGCTTCTTCCTGCGCCTGCTGCTCCTCCCCCCGTTGCCCTCCGCCTCATCCTCCTCGTTCTCCTCCACCGCTCCCCAATTGCCCCACCCGCACCCCACTCCAAGCCGACCGTCTCCCCCGACTCATCATGTTTCTCCTAATCCTCCCCGGTCTGAACGCGTTGCCCCTCGGAGGCCTCTTTCTCTCTCCCTCCACCCTCGGCCGTCCTCATCCGTCTCAACCTCCAGTGTGAGTTTTCTTTTCTCCCTACCATCCACTCCCCATACGTCGCTCCTCTTCCCATTCGGTTCCGTCCTGCTCTGCCTCGTCCGTCGTCGTTTTCTTGCCGCGTGTTTTTCCACGTTTCGCGGCTGCGCTCGTTCGGCTTGTATGGCACCCAGCATGCTTCTGGAGAGTCAGTGAAGGAAGAGGGGAAATGGGTTGGGAGGGAGGAGGGGGAGAAAGAGGAACATGGGGAGCAGAAGGAAGAGGATGAGGACAGTGAGTGATGGAAACGAGCGTTATGATGAAGATGAATATGAGTATGATGATGGTGATGATGATGATGATGATGCTGATGATGATGATGTTGATGATGATGTTGAGTATGATGGTGTTGATAATGATGATGTTAATGATGATGCTGATGGTGATGGTGATGGTGATGGTGATGCAGCTGGTGATGATGATGGTGCTGGTGGTGGTGGTGATGGTGATGATGGTGATGCTGATGGTGATTATGATGATGGTCATGGTGAGGTTGATGGTTTAGGTGGTGATGATGATGCTGCTGCTGATGCTGATGATGATGCCGACGATGATGATGCTGATGATGATGATGATGATGATGCTGACGGTGATGATGTTGATGGTGGTGGTGACGATGACGATGGTGGTGATGCTTTCGCTGATTATCCTCCCTCGCGCGCGTGTGGGCTTCTGTAGTTTCTCGGTCCGAACCCGCGCGTGGCTTCCCGGGGCGGGCGCTGCCGCTCCAGGGCCTGCGAGCCGCGCTCTACGAGCGGCTCGTGGGCCAACCGCTTCCCCAAGCTGCGGACCTCCGTGTACCCTCCGCGGGGACCCCGTGGCCCGCTCGCGCCGATATCGGGCGGCGGGGGGCGCTGCACCCCTGCCCCTCGGGCTGGGGCTTGCCCCACCGTCTGCCCCCGGGCTGGCGGTGGAGCTGAGCAACGGGGTGACCCCCATTGCTGCTCTCGACGGTCGCGGCCCTGCCCGGAGCCCTTTGCCGCCTGCAGCCTCCTCGGAGGCTGCTGCGTCGGGGCCGTCGCGCCCCGTGGAGGCCCGACGGGCCCCCCCCCCCGCGCTCGGACCGCGATCGGAGCCCTCGACGGGCGCTGTCGCGGTGCGCAGCGCGCCCTGGCCTACAGTCGGGGCCCCGAAGAGGGAACCCTTTTCGTTGGGGAGGGGCTCCGTGTTCCTTACTGGTTTCGCAGCCTGCCCTGGATGTTCCTCAGGTCTTCGATGCGAAGTCGAAGTTTAACTCATGGGGAAAAGGGGCCTCGTGCCTTATTTAGGGTTCCTTCGGTCAACGCCTCGACTGTACGGCCCAGGAGCGCGGGCTCAGGAGCGCGCGCGGGCCCTCTTTCCCAGGGCCCGCCCGCAGCTCTTCCCCGAGGCAAGCGCTCGCGTCGCCAGCCATGGCTGCAGCTGCTTCGGCCGAGGGGGGCTCGCCACTCCCCGACGGCCTAGTCTGGTCCGGCCTCCACCCCTTCACTCCTCCGCCAGCCACTCGCTAGGATCGTTGGCGGTTGGACGAGGGCGAGGAGAGCTGCGCCGCGATCCCTCTGGCTCTTCGGACACAGGTTCTTGTGCTGGCGTTGCTGGAGTCCTTCCGCCTCTCCGACAGTCTCCGCTTGGCGGAGGCGGCAGAATTCTCAGGGCCAGCTGGCCCCTTCCAGGTGGTCAGCGTGCCCTTGCTCGGCGCAGCCTCGCGTCCGCCGAGCACAATCGCCCCAGTGTTGGCGGTCGACTTGGAGGCCCCCGAGATGGGAGCTCTCGCCCCTCTGGACGAGGGCGACGCCGTCGGGCTGGTCCCGTTCGGATCGGCTCGCGGCAGCGCGTGCCGGCCGCACCCTTCGGGGTCGTCGGCCTCTGCGAGGACTTCGCGGCCACTCACGGCGCCGCGCCCGCCGAAGGGAACGAGGCCGCGCCTGGCGCGGAGAGGGCCACCCCGCACCCGTCCGCGGGCGTATTCGAGGGCGGCGGGCCGGAGGACGACGCCGACGCCGAGGGCCGCCCTCGGCGTGGCCAGCGCATGCGCTGGCCCCCCCGCTCCTGGAGGCGCCCCCGCGCATGCGCGGGGCAGCCTCGGCGCGCGGCCGAAGCTTTGCTCAGGCATGGCCCGCCCTCCCGCGGGGGGGGGGGCCATCGCCCGCGGCCCTGGAGGACGGGGCGCCGATGGCCCGCGCGGAAGTTCGCGTTGGAGATCCACGGGGCGTTGGCCGCGAGCGCGGCCCAGCCCGCGGTTGTTCCCCCGGGGGGGGCCGCGCCTATCTGCGAGGGGCCCGCCTTCGAGGCGCCGCAGATGCTCGCCGACGAGGCGACTCTCGCAGGCGTCGCCCAGGAGGATCTCAAGGCGCCCCCCCCCCCCCCCCTGGGCCCCCGGCGCGCGCAGAGCCGCCCCGCCGCGCCAGCCTCGGCGCTGGCGGCAGCCTGGGGGAAGCGCGGGCTGGGGCGCAGCCGCCCGCCGCTGCCGCCGCCCCCGGCCCCGCCGCCGCTCTCCGCCCCGGCGGCGGCTTCTCGACGATGGGCGCGCCGGGCCCGGAGAGAGGGCGCCGGCCTCGGCGGGGGGTGGGCGCCGCGGGAGACGATCTCCCGCGCGGGCGGCAGTCCCGAGCCCACCGCGGAGTTGGCGCGCCGCTCTGCCCGCGGGGGCCTCTCCATGCAGCGAGCGGGGGCGCGGCGGGCGGCGACGCGCCCTACTGCCCGGGGGCGCTCGGCGACCTCCGCGCTCGGCCGCTCATGCCGGCGCCGAAGAGGGGGCTGCCAGAACATGGGGGCTGCCAGAGCCTCGGCCGGCGGCGTCGCACGTCGCAGGGAGTGGCAGCAAGTGCTATGCAGTCCAGCACGGGCTCCTGGTTCGATCCACTCCGAGGGCAGACCTCGCTTAAGTGTGCTCCGGGGGTGGAGCTATCCACGCTCACTCCCATGGCTGTGTCCCAGTACTTCCGCGAGCACACTGCCAGTTTGAAACGTGCCCCCGTCCCTGTGTTTGGCGCCACCTCACCTCGATGCCGATCCTAAGGGTCCCTTGGGTTTCTGATGGCGCACCCTTCAGATTGTACGTGCCACTGTGCAAATCCTCTGAGCAAGGAATGAGGTGCAGTAGCTGACTCAAGACGTGGACGATGTTTGCTGCTGGGCGCGGCCCACCACTCTGCTATGATGGGATGTGGCCTCGGTGCTAAGCGCTCTCCGCGCTTGAGCGAATCCTCTGAGCACGGGCTTGGCTGCACGTGCTCCTCAGCGCGCAGGATAATTACCTCTTCAGAGGCGCCGCTCGGCCCGCGCGCGCGCCGGGGGCTCGGTGCCTTTGGGCCCCCCCCCCCCCCCCCCGCGAGCCTGCCGCGGCCTCGGGCCGGAACGCTTTCGCAAGCGCGGGGCGGGCGAAGGTTTGCTCTTACGTGTTGTCCCCCCTCGCGCGCGTCTGGGCACCTGGAGCTTCCCAGCCCGCATCCCTCAACTCCACCCTCTCCTTTTCCGGGGCCAGCGGCGTTACCTGCTGCGCGTGCCCCTCAACACGCTGCCCCTCAACACGCAGGAGATATCCTTTTCCTGGGTGGCGCCGTTCGGCCCGCGCGCGCGCTGGCCGTGGCCTCCGTCCGAAGCCCCATGGCAAACACGGGGTGTGATAATTATGACCATCGTGAAGATGGTGATGGTTATGGCGATAGTGGTAGTGTTGATGTTCATGGCGGTGATGACAATCGCCGTTATCGTGGTAATACTGATCCGTATGATGATGGTGATAACGGCGATGGTACTTATGATGACGACAGCGACGTGGCGGAGGAAGAGGAGAGGTGGAGAGAAAGTCAGGGGCGGCGGGAAGCTTTGAAACCCAATAGTTGTGGGAGCTGATGGAGAAGGAGGAGGAGAACAATGGGGTAGACGGGAACGAAGTTGGAGAACAGCACGGGGGTATATTTGGAGGTAGAAGAGGACGAGGAAAACGGGCACATGAATAACAACAGGAGAGGATGAAGGAAGAGGAGTGGCATGAGAACAGGCGGCTAAGACATGGGCCTGCGGGCCGCGCTTGCTGTTTGTTATGCCCCTGTGGGTTCGACCGTAAGCTCGTGGCAGCTGGTCGATATCTTTCAGTAGGCCCGTTGTGGGGCTTGAAGCAGGGCGATGATATCAGCGCTCTGGTCGCTGCGCACAGTCAGTCTGGACTTGAATATTTTTTATCTTTGCTGTTTGCTTCAATCTAGCTTTTTAGCCTGACTCGTGGTGTGTGGATGCATTCGCGTTTTGACACCTCCTGTTGAGTCATGATACCCGCCCCATGTTCTTCTCCCCAAAACATGTTAAGCGTTGAAGGGTTGGCGCTGGCTGAAAAATTGCAAATGTGACGGAGTTATTGTTGGATTGTGCGGTGCAAAGCGCGATTGAAACAAAAAACATAGTCGCATAACCGAGTTACGCAAGTGACGACGGGTTAGATTGCGCAAAGTTGCAGCGGCGTTGCAAACATGTTCCGGTAATTTCGTGGTACCACCGCCTGCGTCGGATTAGGAATATATACCAGAGCAGCCGTTCGCGGTGTTTTTGTCTCTTGCCTTCTAGATCACAGGAATGTTCGGGAATGTTTTGATCTGAGCTGGCCAACCGCATGCCGGCCGGATGTGGCGGGGGTGCATGAGAAGAACATGTTTGTTCGATGTAATATTGACAGCGTGGTTTGCAGCATATGGAATGCTCGAGTCTGCTGTGGCCGCGGCAGTGCTGCACCGAATTTCCCGCCAGGCAATCTTCTGGGCAACGTAGCGGGAGAGGTCGCGCCAGATCTTCCAAATTTCACGGCAGGGCGAAGAGACACGGAAAGTGTGCGTGCAGAGTTCAAGGTTTTTGGGCGCGCAAGGCGCAAGGGCGGGCGTTCCGCGATGCCGCATTGAGCGGCGAACCCGTTTATTCGATCGCACTCGCAACCGAGGCTCTTCAGCATGGAACAGTGGGAATCCATGCAGTGGAAATCCGCCGCCACGCCAGCGCAGGCAAGAGGCCGCTGGGTTCAAGCCCCGTTTCGGCCCCGTGCCCTGCCGGAATTCGTGCTGGTCTTAAACGCCCCTCCTCGTGCGCCGCCTCTTCCTCCGCTTGCTGGCTCATCTCGTACAGTCGGGGCGCTGAAGAACGAACCCTTTTCGTGGGGGAGGGGCTCGGTGTTCCTTGAATGTTTCAGAGTTTGCCTCGGGCTTCCCTGAGGTCTTCCGCGGGACATCGAGGTTGAACTTATGGGAAAATGGGGCCTCGTTCCTTATTTGGGGCTCCTTAGGTCAACGCCCCGACTGTGGTCTTCTTGAGAGTTGGCATGGAGCGCCCCATCGGCGGGGCTCCCTGGGGCCCCCGGGGGCCTCTGTGGTGGGGGCCCGTGGTGGGCCCGGCAGAAAAGGTCTCGGGCCGAGCTCTCCCGAAGCGGCTCGGCCGAGCCAGCTCGGGGACACTCCGGGCGGTCTCGGGTTGCCTCGGCGCCCTCCTCGGGGAGGTCTTCGGCTCTCTTCTGGTCGGGGGCGCGAGGCGGACGTGCACGTCGATGGATCCACGCTGGTTTCGAGAGTACGCACTGCGCGAGTGTTCGCGTCAGGCGGCAGCTCTCACGGATCGAGGGGCCGCGTTCGTGTACATGGCTGGGCGCGTACGTCCTTTGTGGGCTCCCTGTCTGGAGGTCCCTGGCCGTCCCCGCATCCTGTGATGAGGCTCTTTCGTGTTTCGTGTTGGGGGGGCCCTTGGTGCTGCCTTGAGGTACCCCGAGGCGTTGGGCCACCTCTCGATGCTTCTGGGGTTTGCTGCAGTCGTTTCGGAGCGAGTTTGGGCCTTCGGGGAGTCGTCCAGAGGCCTGAACGAGCGCCAAGGAGCAATACTAGGAGAACTGTAACAGGCCGTCGTAGGCGACAATGGCCACGACGATGATGTGGCGACGGCAATGGCTGTGAGCATAAGAGTGCCGATGATACCAGCATGGCGATGGCGGGGACCACGGTGACGACGGCGTTCACGAGGGCAACAACATAGACTCGCAGCATGCAGTGTGCAGGCTCGTAAGCATTGACGTCAACCTTTCCATCATACTTTTTGCCCTGTCCGACTCTTAGTCCTCTTCGCGGCGGCCGTCCCCGGAGGCTGAGCATGTGGGGCAAGACGCCTTCGATCCGGGACAGGCGCTCGCCCTCTCCGAGGGGGACGTGCGCCAGAGCCGATGTCGTCGTCGTCGTGTCGTCGTCGTCGTCGCCGTCGTCCGTTCGGAGGTTTCTGGGTCGTTCTGGAGGTTCTCTTCGCCACAGCTGGAGACAGCTCGATCAACTGGCTGGGACGGATTCCAGCGGAGGTCCAAGGACGTGTTTTCGAAGGGGGATGGGGTCGGAGGGTGCTATGACGAGATAAATCGATTCCAGGTGATTCTAGAACGCTTACAGAGCGTTCCGGAACGCTCTGGGAAGGCGCATGCTGCTATTCAGTGCGAGCGCTGTGTGGGGCGACCCAGGTGGTGCGAGCAATGTCTGCAGAAAGTGCAAACGCTGTGTGTGGCCACCCAGGTGGTGCGAGCAATGTCTGCAGAAAGTGGAGCCGCTGACTCCAACGCTTGAGCAAGCATCCCACCCACCCGCATCTTCTCGGCAGAACTCAGCTGGCGCAGTGACGCGAGGACCCTTCTCGGGACTCTTCTCATTCAGATTCATGGCTCGGGCGGGCGAGTGATGATGGTTCCGACAAGATCGGTGAGGACAACTATGATGATGACGGTGATGGTAGAGGCGATCATGACGAGAGCGACGACAAAGACGATAATGATGGTGATCATGGCGACCGTGGTAATGATGACGACGACGACGATGGTGACGGTAACTAGTATTACACTTGAGAAAACCCAATCAGTGGACGATGTGAACATTGATAATATGGATTTTGAGATCGAGAGATCGATAATGAGATCGATAGTGGAATCGATAGTGAGGGCAATTGTAAAGTCGATCGTGAGACCGAGAGTGAAACGATTCAATGAGATCGATAGTGAGATCGATCGCGAGATTGCTCATGCGATCTCTAGTGAGATTGCCTGTGATATTGATAGTGAGATCGATTGTGAGATCGATGGTGAGATCGATCGAGAAGTCGCTAATGAGATCGATGGTGAGACCGATCGATAAGAAGATCGACCGGGAACCCGGGAACCCGGGAACCTCGCCACCCTCCGAAATCGGCCCAGAACCCGGAACCAGGAACCGGGGAACCCGGAACCGGGAACCCGGTAATTCGGGAACCCAGCGTGCGACCAAAATCGGCGGGGCACTTTCGCCAAAATCTTCACCATCCGCGAGGACCCCTTCAGTGCAATCACTGATTGGGGAACATCCGCGAGGACCCATTCAGTGCAAGCACTGATTGTGGAATGATCGTATTGTTGATGATGTTGACAACGACGACGGCGACGATGATGGTGATGACGACGACGACGACGGTGATGGTGATGACGACGACGACGACGACGACGACGACGACGACGATGATGATGATGATGCTGATGATGATGATGATGATGATGATGATGATGATGCTGATGATGATGATGATGATTATGAGGATGATGCTGATGATGATGATGATGATGATGATGACGATGATGATGATGATGATGATGATGATGATGATGATGATGGTGATGATGATGATGATGATGGTGATGTAAATGTTGGTGACGATGATGATGCTGGTGGTGGTGATGATGATGAGGATGACGACGGTGACGATGACGCTGCCGATGACATGGATTCCGCTGGCGATGATGATTGCGATAGTGCTAACGGTGGTGATGTTGCATGAGGATGACCAGGAAGTGCGCGCGGAGAAGCCCAGGCCTAGTTGTTCGAAAAAATCTACCACGGGGACGACGACAAGGGTGACGGCGGCAGGGACGTGAGCGAAGAGGAGGAGGGAGGGAGGGCGACGCTCGCAGTGACGGAGGGAGGAGGGAGGGACGGAGGAGGGAGGGAGGGAGGGAGGGAGGGAGGGAGGAGGAGGGAGGAGGAGGGAGGAGGGAGGGAGGAGGAGGGAGGAGGAGGGAGGAGGGAGGGAGGGAGGGAGAACGACTCCGCAGGCTGTCGGCCCACTCGAAGGAGCGCAGGATATCCAACGACTCGGCCCGGGCGTGGAACGGCGGGCAGCTCGGCGGGGACCCGATGCTGGCCACGCCGAGCGGGCTGCCGGAGGAGGGCGAGGACGCCGTCGGTCGCCGTCGTCGTCGCCTTCGCCGCTCGCCGCGGCTGCCCGCTTTCTCTCTGTCTCTCTCTCTCTCTCTGTCTCTATCTCTCACTGTTTTTGTTGCTGGTTCTCTCTCTCTCTCTCCTTCACGCCCTTGCTCCCCCTCCTTGTCCTCCTCCTTCTCCTTCTCCACCTCCTCCTCTTCCTCGTCGTCCCTCTGGGGGGCCACGGCGAGCCTCTGCCTGACTTCCCCTCCTCTCTTGCCCTCTCCCGCCTCCTCCCCCCACTCCCTCCCTCCCCCCTTCTCTCTTCCTCCCGCCTCTCCCTTCCCCGCCCTATCCCCCCCCCGTTCGCTCACCCCACCCTCTCCAACACCCCCTTTCGCCCCTCGCCCTTCCCTTCCCAGTCAGGCGGGAACCCCGCTTTGAAAATGAGCTGCCTGGCATCTCTTGTTAGGAAGTACAAGGGAAGCGGAATGCGAGGATTCGAAAGTTCATCGGTGTGTCCGCGAGAATTTCGCTTTGAGCTGAAATCGGCTTCCCGCCTCCATCTGTACATGTATGCGTAAGTAGTTTGCATTTTTGGCTCATTACATACATGCCTGCCAGCGTGGACCCCCAGATCGTGTGTCTTTAGCAATCTATGCTGAGCAAGGGCCAGATTCCTCAGAGCAGCAGCTACCGGCAGATTCCGCGGCAGCTGCAACGGGCATGGATGCCAATGGGAAGCCGACACCAGGCTTCACCGAGGCGGTGAAGGACTGGCTTGTGGACGAGAGCAAGCGGCCCGACCCAGCTGCCCAGCCCGAAAATCAGAAGCGGCGGCTGGAGTTACACTTGGAAGGTCTGGCGGACCACGCGAAGCGAGCGCGCCGTGGGTGGCGACGTGCTGTGTCTACCGATTCTCTGTCCACGGGGCTCGGAGACGGGGAAGCGCGGCTTCTAAGCTGGCCAGCGCGGCCGCGCGCGCGTCGCAGGCGCCCCTTGTCTGCGGGGGCCGGCTTGCCAGAGGCATCTTTCCCTCCTCCTCCTCCTCCTCCCCCTCCTCCTCCCCCTCCTCCCTGCTCCTTTTCCTCCTCCTCCTTCTCCCTCCTCCTCCTCCTCCTCCTCCTCATCCTCCTCATCCTCCTCCTCCTCCGCCTCCTCCTCCGCCAGAGCCTGGCGACGAGTGGGCGCTGCGCGGGGCTGGGATCGAGTATCCTCTTCCCCGTCGACGGTGGTTTCGCGTTCGCGGGCGGCTCGGGCGGCTCGGGCTTGAATGCGTCCCCCGGCGCTGCGTTCCACCGGTTGGTCGCGCGTGTTCCGCGCGCGTGTAGGAGCCATCTGCGTGGGCGGCGAAGAGTAGGCGACGTTGGCCCCGGCTGAGAGCGGTGTTCGTTATTGCAGCGTTCTCGTGGATTGCATGCGATCCTGGGCAGCTGTGCATGCCGAGCCAAAACTGTCGCTGCGGCTAACCCCCGCGACCGCATGTGGCGACGTGCGCGCACGAGAGAGAATAGTTCGCGGCTCGCAAGTCCAAACGCGCGAAGAGCCACCGCATCATGAGTCATGTCGGGGAAGGGTTTCTCTCGCAGTTCGCGCCGGAGGGGAACCAAGCAGCGGATCGTTATGTCAAGCTGGGGGGCAGCTGCGGTGCGGCATCTGAACGGTGCCTTGCGTTTCTGGGGGCTGCCTCGAGGTAGCGTCTAGGGCTGGCTCGGCGCCCTGGAGCTGTGAATGGGAACTTCCAGGATCACCAAGGCGTGGATGCGATTAGAGTTCTGGATGTCAGTTCGTTGGAGGATTGTGTATCCGCAGATTTCCTCGCTGAGGTCTACCGCAACTCCGAGGCCCCATCCGCGTCCCCTTCCCCCCCTCTCCCGTTTCCTGCTGACCCGCCTGCTGCTGCTGCTGCTGCTGCTGCTGCTGCTGCTGCTGCTGCAGACAGGGCCTGGTCGGCTTCCGAGGGGGCAGGCGGTGGAGGCGGAGGTCGAGGATGGTGAAGCTCTCGAAGACGACGGACATGGCCTCGGCGTTGCTCGACCTTGGAGGGTTCAAGGGGCACTCGGTGCTGGAGGCGGGCATTCCAGGAGCTGGGCCCATCCTGGTCTGCGCCACGTGTTATCACTTCGCGGCCCGTCTTCGGTGACGGGGACTGTTCGCACCATGTGCAGGTCCCAATAGGCCCAAAGGAGGCAAAGCGCATGCCGTCAGAAAGCGGCCCCACGACAGATGGTGTTCCGACGAATTGTCGGTGGCTGTGGACGAAAAGCTCCGGTCCCGGTCCGAAGCCGCCCGCGCTCGCTTGGCCTTGCACTTCGGCGTTGGCATGGACGAGGATCGTATGCCCAGCCGTCTGCTTCCCTTTTCGCGGCAAGTCGTCGACCCCACTCTCGATCTCCACGCTTGTTTGAGAGCCTTCGAGTTCGAGATTCGCACCCTGGCCGAGACCGTGGGCCAGAGCCGGGGCCGCGCCCAGGCGAAGTCGGGGATTTGGTGTCTCAGCCGAAGAGGGAGAGCTCGGCCGACCGATCGGGGGATGGGGTTGCCCTGTCCGGAGCCCGCCGCTGGGGACGGAATCCCCTGGTGTGCCTGACAAATGTCCTCTCGCATGGGCGGCCCCACCCCGTCGTCCCTCTTCCCACCTTCGACTTTGCCCTCTATGGCATTATGGGCATTGACCCCTCTCCACCTCCTCTTCCTGCCGCTCCTCATGCTCCCCCTCCTGCTCCTCATTCTCCTTCCCCTCCCCTCCCTGTATAGCAGCCTCCCTTCCTCCCCCTCCTCCTCCTCATCCTCTTCCCCCTCCTCCCCCTCCTCCTCCTCCTCCTCCTCCTCCTCCTCCTCCTCCTCTTCCTCATCGTCTCCTCCTCCTCCTGCTCCTTCCTTCTCCTCCCCCTCATCCTCCTCGTCCTTCCCCTTTCCCTCCATCTACTCCTCCTCCTCCTCGTCCTCCTCGTCCTCTTCCTCCTGCTCCTCCTTTTCCTCCTCCCCTCCTCCGCCTCCTGCTCCTCCATTTCCTCCTCCTCCTCCTCCGCCTCCTGCTCCTCTCCTCCTCCTCCTCCTCCTCCTCCTCCTCCTCCTCCTCCTCCTCCTCCTCCTCCTCCTCCTCCTCGTCCTCCTCCTCCTCCTCCCCCTCCTCCTCCTCCTCCTCCTCCTCCTCCTCCTCCTCCTCCTCCGTCTCCTTCTCCTCCTCCTCCTCCTCCTCCTCCTCCTCCTCCTCCTCCTCCTCCTCCTCCTCCCCCTTCTCCTCCTCTTCCTCCTCCTCTTCTTCCTCCAATCCGTCTCCTTATGATTCAGTGAATGATCCATGTCTCACCCTGAGGCCCGTCGGAACGGCGGACAGGGCGTTTCGCCTGAGACTTCCTGACCCCTTTCATGCTCCTGAAGCTTCAGCATTGAGAGCAGCATCACATATGGACGGCGGGCCGCTTCCCAAACTTGGGCTGTCGATTGAGCGCCGCGCACATGCAAGAGCTTCGCGGATTGAGAGCGGGCCGTTTTTCAATGTGGTTCTCGCCTCAGCGCCGCGCGCAAACCTTTTTTGTAACATGTGCAATGGTTTGACGGGTTGAGGGCGGGCCATTTTCAAGATGTGGTTCTGGCCTTAGTGCCGCGCGAATTGGTTCGGAAAAAGATCTGGGTTTTCACGGATTGAAGGCGGCTTCGTTTTAAGACTGTGGTTCTCGCTTTAGCGCCGCGCGCATTCGTTGTAACAAATTGGAGAGTTTCGTGGATTTCCATGGTTCACGTACCAGACATGGTGTTTCAGATGGATAAGGATTGCCAGGGTGCAGAAGTTCTTTTGAGCTGCTGCGTTGAAGTCCCGGGAAGCGTGTTTTGGAACGATTCCGGGTCATCGTTGACGTCCCCAGAACGGTGTTTTGGCACGTTTCCGGATCTTCAAACGGTTGTCTCCCAACGGGGCATTTCCCTCTGGAAATGGATCCATGTAGGGGCCTATCTACGAAGAGGGAGCCAGGAGAGAGGATGTTTTCCAACATCGGTGATGAGTCTTGGGTTTGTACTCCTCCTCCTCCCTTCCCTCCTCTTCCTCCTCTTCCTCCTCCTCCCCCTCTCCCCTCTCCCCCCTCCTCCCCCTCCTCCCCCCTCCGCCTCCTCCCCCATCCCCGTAATCATATCCGCTTCTGGGGGCGGGACCCGAGGCCCCCGAGCTCCCAGCCGAGCCATCCGGCCGGATCGAGACCCCCTCCGCGGCGCCCCCTCGCGCCCGCCATCGGCGGCCGCATCATGCGCCGCGCCGCCGCGCTCGCGGGCGGCTGCCGCGCCGGGGAGAGGCCGCCGGTCCGGAGCTCAGCGTCCACGTGCGGGCCTCGCTTTCTGGAGCGTGTGGCGGCGGGATTGTTGTCCACCATCACCACCACAACTGGGAGGGGGAGGGGGTCCTCCTCCTCCTCCTCCTCCTCCTCCTCCTCCTCCTCCTCCTCCTCATCCTCATCCTCATCCTCATCCTCCTCCGCCTCCGCCATCCTCGACCTCCATCCCCCCCCCCCTCCACCTCATGGTGGTGGTGGTGGTGGAAAACAGGCCCATGATTTGGTTGAGAATCATGGGAGTTTTCCCTGCCCTCGATGCTCCATTGCTAGAGCGAGCTAGCGTGCGCCAGCGCCTGGTAGTCGATGGGGAGCGCATGTGTAGCATCGATTGGCGTCGATTTAGGGTCGGCTAACCGCAAGAAGCCATTTAGGACCCCCCCAGGGTTATCATTAGCACAGCACCGTAATTGAATAATTCTGTGGGGCGATTCTCGCCGAACTATATGATTAGCACCGCGCAGATGGAACGTACATTTATAATTCCCGCGCCCCGGCTCGGTTGGCATCCCAATTGGAATTGGAATAATGATACAAATAATAAGAGTGGAATACGATTAATGGCTCAGGCGAGGCGTTTGTTTCAGAATCACAAGGAGACCATATTGCGAGAATGTCTCAGGCGGTTTGCTTGTTTCGGCGATCAGACTCGTCTGCGTTGACACGAAGGTGCGAGGCGCCAGGGTAGCGCTTCTGGGGTGCCGG